AACCAGGACACACAGGGAGGTGCAGCCTCCCCACTAAGCTGCTGTGGGGTGTCCTGGTACAGGGTTCACCCTGTTATGCTACGTCCAGACCCACGTTCAGACCAGGGGCTGGGGGGCAGAACTGGGCAGCAAAGCCCTGGCAGGGTGAGGAGGGCTCAGCTGGAGGCAGGCAGTGGATGTTGGGGCAGACAGGGTGTCTCGTGGAGCACCACAGTGTTGGTCTCAACCACCTCAGGGATGGTTCTTGCTCAGTTTAGGGCAATGTGCCAGGGCTGGGGCAGTGTCACCTCACCATCTGGGGGGGGTCCTGCCAACCCTGCTGACGGGTCCTGCCAACCCTGCTGACCTGTGTCCCCTTTGCCCCTGCAGAAGCTGGCCTGGGAGCAGCAGGAACCAGCTGAGAGGAAGCTGAACTTCGTGCCCCAGCAGTACCGGTGCCTGCGAGCTGTGCCTGCCTATTCCCGCTTCATCCACGAGCGCTTCGAGCGCTGCCTGGACCTCTACCTCTGCCCACGCCAGAGGAAAATGAGGGTGAGGGCATCTCCTACCCCTGCACCCCTTCACCCAAGAGTCCTGGGGACATTCAGACTGTCCTCTGCTCGTTCCTGTGTATGCCCTGATGCCACCCAGCTGGTCAGGGAGCACAACCTGCTGCTCCTAACAGCCTCTTGCCTCTCACCCACCCACAACACTGGTCCCAGCTCTCTGCAGAGCTCCTGAGCTGGGATGGGGCCGTGCCACGCTGGCAAATCACTCTGCTGTCATCTCCCTGTGCCTCAGAGCCCCGAGACTGGGATTTCCAGCTGGAGCCCGTCCTGGGGCTGTACACCCCTGCACCCAGGGCACCAACACCAGTGCCAGGGAACTGAGGTGCAGCCTGGGTGTATCTCACCACCTCCCTCTCACAGGTCAACGTGGACCCGGAGGACCTGATCCCCAAGTTGCCAAAGCCACGGGATCTACAGCCCTTCCCAACCACCCAGGCCCTGGTAAGTGGATGAACAGAGCTGGGGGAAACTGGTGTCCACACCTGTGGCAGCAGGATGTTCCCAAGCTGGTCCCAGTCAGGCGTGGCATGGCCATGAACCCATCACAGCTGGTGTGGGCACAGCTGCTGCCCACTTGCCCTGGAAGTTCCAGACAAACTTCAGGAGAAACTTCTTTCCTGTGAGGGTGTTGGAGCCCTGGGACAGGCTGCCCAGAGAGGGTGTGGAGTCTCCATCTCTGGCGATGTCCAAACCCACCTGGACCCTTTCCTGTGTG